GCCCGGTCGCCACGCAGGTGCACCTGTGCGCTGACCTCGCCGCCGCAGCGTGCGCACTTGCCCCAATTGCGCGCACCTGCTGATGATTAGAGCAGAAACACCTGACAACGCGTCCCAGGCTCGGCCACTCCAGCGCCGGACCCAAATATTTAATGGGGGCTGGTGTGCTTAGCACGCGCGAGATATTGCCGCTCGTTGGACGATTGTCGCGAGTGACTGCGCGCGCGCGCCGCGATCGCACCGTCACCGTCGCACCGATCGCACCGTCCACCGTCGCGCCGATCGCACCGTCACCGTCGCACCGATCGCACCCGTCACCGTCCGCGCACCGATCGTCACCAGACGAGCCACTTGGGCATGTCAAGTTCATACCCGGTAGCGGCGCAGGGAGCTTGGCGACGGGCCGACAGCGAGAACCGTACAATGTGACAGGGTCGACGGCAACGGATACGGTTTTCCGCCTGCACTAAATCATCGCAGACTTCCATGCTCGTTCACGAGAAATGTGTGTGGCCACTGACTCCCGCTTCCACTGGACTAGAACTCGTGCTGAATCGCACGGAATCGACCTTGAAGCACTGGCAGTGGGATCTTTCCCGCTACCTGCTTTCTTTTCAGCATTAACTACATGAAGCATCTGTACCCAAAGCTGGTCAGCCTCGCAGCCGTGCCCCTGCCCCGGCCGTAGTCCGAAGCGTGCTGTCGCAGAGGCCGGTCTCCGGGCCTGGCACTCTCCCCTCTCCGGCGCCTCTGACCCGCCCGCCGAGCCGGTCGAGCCGCGAGCGCCGTCCGTGTCCCGTGTTTGCCCTCCCCGTATTGAATTTCGATAAGTGACCAGCGGGGATAGACGGGGGTCAGACGCAGCGTCGGAGGAGAGGTCGAGGTCGGCTGCACCGTGCATGACCCAACCCCACCCCTGACGTCAGGGGGAGGCCGAGGTCTGATGCACCATATACAGTCCACCCCCACCCCTGACGTCGGGGGAGGCCGAGGTCTGATGCACCATACAGTCCACCCCCACCCCTGACGTCAGGGGGAGGCCGAGGTCTGATGCACCATATACAGTCCACCCCCACCCTGACGTCAGGGGAGGCCGAGGTCTGATGCACCATATACAGTCCACCCCCACCCCTGACGTCAGGGGAGGCCGAGGTCTGATGCACCATATACAGTCCACCCCCACCCCTGACGTCAGGGGGAGGCCGAGGTCTGATGCACCATATACAGTCCACCCCCACCCCTGACGTCAGGGGGAGGCCGAGGTCTGATGCACCATATACAGTCCACCCCCACCCCTGACGTCGGGGGGAGGCCGAGGTCTGATGCACCATATACAGTCCACCCCCACCCCTGACGTCGGGCGGAGGCTAAGGTCGGATGCACTATATACAGTCCACCCCCACCCCTGACGTCGGGAGGAGGCTAAGGTCTGATGCACTATATACAGTCCACCCCCACCCCTGACGTCGGGCGGAGGCTAAGGTCTGATGCACTATATACAGTCCACCCCCACCCCTGACGTCAGGGGGAGGCCGAGGTCTGATGCACCATATACAGTCCACCCCCACCCCTGACGTCAGGGGGAGGCCGAGGTCTGATGCACCATATACAGTCCACCCCCACCCCTGACGTCAGGGGAGGCCGAGGTCTGATGCACCATAAACAGTCCACCCCCACCCCTGACGTCAGGGGGAGGCCGAGGTCTGATGCACCATATACAGTCCACCCCCACCCCTGACGTCGGGGGGAGGCCGAGGTCTGATGCACCATATACAGTCCACCCCCACCCCTGACGTCGGGGGAGGCTAAGGTGATGCACTATATACAGTCCACCCCCACCCCTGACGTCGGGGGAGGAGGTCTGATGCACTATATACAGTCCACCCCCACCCCTGACGTCGGGCGGAGGCTAAGGTCTGATGCACTATATACAGTCCACCCCCACCCCTGACGTCAGGGGGAGGCCGAGGTCTGATGCACATATACAGTCCACCCCCACCCCTGACGTCGGGGAGGAGGCTAAGGTCTGATGCACCATATACGTCCAACCCCACCCCTGACGTCGGGAGGAAGGAGGCTAAGGTCCTGATGCACCATACCTTCAGTCCACCCCCACCCTGACGTTCGGTGAGGATGGCTAGAGGGTCCGATGCACATTATACAGTCCCCCCCCACCCCTGACGTCGGCGAGGAGGCTAAGGTTCGGATGCACTATATGCGGCCCCCAACCCCCTCCCCTGACGCTTCGTAGGCCGCTAAGCAGTTCAGAGGAGCGTCCGAGGCCAACGGATTGGGTGAGCACACACACATCGCAAATAACACACACCCGCTGGAAATGGAACCGCTTTGCATGACCAGCCGGAGCCGTAAACAATTTGCCCCCATTGAAAAGATGAACACGATCAATGGAAATAATCGGCGATGCTGTTGTTTCATGGGGGTACATACATGAGCCTTGGATGGAATTGCATGCAAGGGCATAATGGCTTCATTTCAACATTTTGGACGTTGCGTCTGAGTTGCGTTGTTTAGCTAAACAACTGTCTAAAAGAGGCAAGACCCCAGCAGCCCGAAGCCATCGACAGACATGTTGATCGCTGGCTTAATGCAGCTCTGGTAATCGCATCGCGCAATGTACCTGTGCATTATACGATAAATTGTGGTTGCGGGAAACAAGATGATCAGAACCATGTAATGTTCTACGGATCACTTTGCCCTCAGTTTCACAAGCATTGATACTGGTGTGCCATGTAGTAACGATAGTCGTTAGGCTTTTGTACAAATGAGCGCTCTCGGAAATGAGTTGGCTTGGAGCCGAAAAGGCAGAATGTCGTACAGAGATGTTGATTTACTTTGAGCAGAAACGTGATGCCGTCATCGTATCAGGTGTGTAATGCGTATGGGACTGGTAGCGTATATAAGCTGATGAAATGGCGTACTTAGGGAGGAAAGGTGGCGCGGCCGTTCCAGCCGAACGAGTGCGGTGTATGCAGCCCATATCTCCTATTTTCGAAAATGTTCCCACGACCACCCAAGGTAACGTATACCGGGGCGCGTGGCAGTGTGCTTTATTATTTCATCCAACGCGCTGCTGGAACTGCAGATTGCCTACACTTTGAAGCTTTCCTTAAAAATGCATGAGCTCAGAAGTGTCTTCGTCGTATTAGAATAGTGGTCTTTTCCAGCGATCGAAAATACTAGCATACGAGCAACGATGGAGCCGGACACTATCGCTTGCATCGTTGTTGTGCGTCATGTGGCATAGTTAACACTCGCATTGTGTTGTGCAGTGTGCGCACGCCGTGGTCGGTATTGCGCATTGGTCAGCTGTCGCTGAGTATTTCATTCAATTAAGGCTCTCCAAGACACTTCAAACACAAGTTCTCGATCACACCGGCTACCCAAGTCCGATGAATGGCTTGACACTCTAAAGTGTTACTACACTATGTACTTCTTTATTCCGCTCGATTTTATGGCGCATGCGGAAGGCACCAAATCATTTTCACGTCTGATGGATTATCATTCAATCACAATGAATGATACATCTCGGCAAGCTGTTATTCGATATCCCAGCGCAATGAAGCAGTAGAGTATACACTCTTGTCAGTTATCAATTTTCGCTAATGTGTTAAGTTTAATGAAAACGTTGATGACGTTTCGACGATTAAAATGAAGCCACAAAGAACTGGTATTGCTAATCAAAATGCTGTGACCAACTTAAAGTTGCTGATTCGCCTGAAGTGGAGTCCAGTAAATGTAGGCCCTCCCGCACAGATTTCACTATTCATTCGTTCATTGAAGTGCGCTGTGGAGCAATTTGACTAGACGTTCCATCTTAATGCAGTTATTATTTTCCGATTGAAATTGCTCAGTTAGAGTATCCAATCTTAATGGATTTATATGTACCAGTTGAAAATATCTCAGTCGTTCATCATAGATCATTAACGCATAGGAACTGAGTTAGAACATACCAAGTTACTTTTAAAAAGTAATAAGAAAA